CTCTCTCCTGTGTGGATTGCTTTATGATGAATAAGGTGTGACCTCTGTATAAAACTTTTCCCACAGTCCAAGCACTTGTGGGGTCTCTCTCCTGTGTGGATTGCCTGATGTCTAATAAGGTCTGACCTCTGTATAAAACTTTTCCCACAGTCCAAGCACTTGTGGGGTCTCTTCCCTGTGTGGATTGCCTGATGTTTAGAAAGGGCTGATCTGTTCCTGAAACTTTTCCCACAGTCCAAGCACTTTTGGGATCTCTCTCCTGTCTGGATTCTCTGATGTGTAATTAATGCTGACTTCCAATTCAAACAGTTTCCACACTTGAGGCATTGAAAGGATTTCTCTCCCATGTGGCTTTTCTCATGGTTATTAAGATCTGAGCAGTTACTGAAGCTTTCCCCATCGACCAAGCATTGAAGGGGTTCCCCTGCAGTATGGATTGTCTGATATGTCACAAGCTGTGATCTGAGAATAAATCCTTTTCCACATTCGAGGCACTGATAGGGTTTCTCTTCCTTGGGATTTGTCTGCTGGGCTGTGGGATCCTTGTCTCCTCCCCCACATATAATAGATTCATCCACTTTCTTCCTTGGGTGGTTTTTCAGTTGCCTCTCTGACTTGTGCCAATTTCCCCAGGCTTCTCCCTCTTCCAAGCACTGGGATATACTCCCTTCAGCTCTTCCCACAAAGGTCCCCTGTGGTTCCACTTGCCCAGGAACTTCCTCATGATGATTCCCATCCTTCTTCTCATCCACTTTCTCATCACCTGCTGGGAGATAGAGACAATCCAGACAGGAGTCATTGTGCTAGGGAGAAAGAGGAATAGCACCAAGGGAAAACCCAACACGCTAACACTGTGAAGACTGAGCAACTGGATTTTGCCTGCAGATCCCACCCAAACACTCCCAGGGATGGAAAGTTGGGAAGGAAACTCCTGCAGCTAACAGTACAGGTGGAAAGCCGTGAATGGTATCTGTTGACTACAGCCCTGGCAGAGGTGAGGAAGAACTAAGGGGTCTTACTCACAGCATATTTTTGGGATTCTCAACTTTATCCTTCATTCACCAGATGGTTTCTGTTTCAGTCCTCACCTGTGTGACTGCCTCTCGGGATCTGTCTTTCCTCACAGGCCTGGAGATCCGGGACCCACAGTTCTTCCCCTCGTTCCAGGTGGGAGATCAGTTCAGGTTTGGGAATGGGAAATCCTGTGCAGGGGGTGAAAAGAGGCATGGTCAGGGCACATGGAGGATTGGAAGATTGTCTGTCACAAAGGGCATTCTGTGAGTGGTACCTCTCACCATGGTCTGCTGGGGGAACATGGAATCTAACAGGACGGGAACATGATCACTGAGCCCTCTTTGGAGAAGCAGATGTCTGGGGAGGTGGGGAATTGTTACGCCTTCACAAGGAGTTCCCAGGATCTATGTGCTGTTGGGCCTTGCTGACGCGCACACAGCTCTGGAGTTAGACCATTTCCTATTTCTAAATCTGCAGAGCCCAGAGTCTTCCCCAAGGCTGGAGCTATTCCCAAGAAGGGAAATGAAGAGGGATTTTGTGCGTCAGTAAGACAATACAGACAGGACAACGAACGACTTCTGCCCCCCCGAATGCTGGAGGGGTGGGCATGGTTTCGCATGTCCATTAGGTTTTGACACGTGTGTCCCAATGAAAGTCTCTCTCATGTGGCAGCTGCACATTATGGAACCCATTCCCCTCCAATATAATTGACCAGGGAAGAACCTGACCAGAGTCAGAAATGAAGACCTCATGGCTTCTAATAACCAAGGGGATGGGAATCCCTTACCCAGCGAGGTCACCATCTCATAGTTCTCCTGCATGACGTCCCTGTAGAGGGCTCTCTGACTGGGGTCCAGCAGAGCCCCCTGACCCTGGGTGAAATAGACAGCCACCTCCTCGAAGGTCACCAGCACCTGAAACAAGAAGAGACCCCCACTCAGCCCCTGCTGCCCCAGCCACAATCCCGCTAGTCACACTAGGAGAAGAAAAAAATAAACTTCTTGGAAGCTCTTGGAGGACCAGAGTAGCAGAATCCTACCCCCACCCCCACCCTGCTCAGAGCAGCCAGGAGGCTTCATGAGTTGGGGAGAAGGTGAGAGCTCCTTGTCCTCCCCAGCAGATGGAGGGGAGAAGAAACCAGAAGAGACCTACCTATGTGAGCAGAATTCCTTCCTGAATTAAATGTTGCTTCAGATG